ATTTACAAATAAGGAATCCTACTTCGCGGAATTTCATTTATCACGGTAGGGTCTAGAACCGATTAACCGCGATAAACGAGGGTTCACTGTATATAGGGCAGGGTAGAACTGCAACAGTGAGTTTCCCAACTGCATCGGAGTAGAAAGCCCCATCTTTCTCCCACAGAGCAGCTGGTGGTTTCGAACTGCTGACTGAGCGGCCAGTAGCCCAACGCGGAAACCATAACGCCACCAATTTGCCATGCTAAGTTTCCCCATTGAGATGGGGGTTGCGGGAGTCGAGGGGGCGGGGCGGGACTGGGACCGGAGGTGGAGCCAGGTCCCAGGAGCTCCGCCTCCCGTCCGACTCAATCTTTTCATCCCGGAACCTTTGTGCTGCGTGCAACTCACTTCCCTCCGGACCCTTTAGAGCCACGAGCACGTGCACTTCCGGCGTCTCCGCACCCCCCCCGTGGCCCTCGTGTTTCCTGGCTCGCGTGTGCGGGCCGGTTCCCTGGCGGCCTCACGCACCTCGGGGCCCGGTGTCATGGCGGGGCTGACCCTGTTCGTGGGCCGCCTCCCGCCCACGGCCCGCAGCGAGCAGCTGGAGGAGCTGTTCAGTCAGGTGGGGCCCGTGAAGCAGTGCTTCGTGGTGACTGAGAAAGGTAGGCGGGACGCGTGGAGAAGCGAGCGCGGGGAGCCGGGGAGCGGGGCCGGGCTGACGGTCGCGTCTCCACCTTAACCTGTCGCTCAGAAACGGGACTAGGACTTCAGGTTCTGCTCCAGACGGACTCGGCTGTAGTTATGACGGTCGGTTCATTTATGCAAATAAGGGCCTTCCTTTTGCGTTTCTGAAGCCCTTTCGGTTTGTTATTCACCTGTTAACATCTTACTTGATAATAATGAGAACAACCCCCAAACCCACTGGCATCGAGTCATAAATCACGCATAGCAATTCACAGATACGGAGACTAACTTGTTGTGAGAGCGGACTGCCTCCTCTCCCATGGAGGGAAGGGCTTGTGGGTTTGAACCACTCCCCTCGCAGTGAGCAGCCAAATGCTTATCCCACGGCGCCACCAGGGCGTCCTAATAGGGATTTAGTGAAGTGCCAGAAAAGCTTCTTGATCGAGGTGGCTGGTATGTTGAGCGGCTAACCACCAGGGTCTGGGTTCAGACTCACAACTCCTCCATGGGAGAAGGATGAAGCTTTCTACTTGCTGAAGATTTACAGCCTCAGAAACCCATGGAGGCAGTTCTACTCTGCCCTTGTAGGTCACTACAAGTTAGAATCAACCCAATGGCAGTGAGCTTGGCATTTTAATTAATTGATTTATTTTTTTGAGTAAGGCTTATTGAGAGGCAGTTGATTACCAGGCCCAGGGCCGAAGTTTACATGTTTAGCTCATTTATTTTCTCAAGACGTGTTGGGTAGAGATGCTTCATCCCATTTCACAGATGAGGAAGTTGGGGTTTAGAGAAATTCAGGAACTTTAAATTCAAGTTTTTAATGATACCTTGTAAGTAGTGGACCTAGATTTTGATCGCCAGACTTAAAAGTTCTTAACCATTCGTGCCTCTGTTTATTCTGCAATTGGGAGCCTACTGTGAGCCAGCCGCTGTTCTAGATCCTGGGAATCGAGCAGCAAACCACACCAAACAAACAAGCATTGCTTTCAGGTTTTCCTGGTGGGAAAGCCCCAAATAAAGTACAGAGTGATAATGATAATTGCTCAGAAGGAGCAATCCAGGAAGAAGGATCAGGCGTGTGCACATTTGTGTGGGGGTGGGTGTGAAGTGACACAATAGATAGGGTGGCAAGGGAAAGCCAGACTGAGGTTGAGGGAATGAATGTGTGCAGCTCTCAAGGAAACAAGTTCAGGGACACTGCAGCAGGCGTGTGCCTGGTGTGTTGGAGGCATAGCATGAGTCCAGGTGGTTGGAGTGGAGTGGGTAAAGGGAAGAGAATTAGGAGCTGAGAGCAGCACGGGAACAGGGTACCAGATCATGTATGACCTTATAGGCTACTTACTGCGTGGACTTTGGTTTTGCCTCAGAGGTGGAAATCAGTGGAGGGTTTTGGACAGAGTGCTGTGTAATAGCTTAGATTTTGGAAGCTTCTCGGGGGCTGCTGTGTTGAGAGTAGAATGGTAGAGAATAGGACCCAAACTGATAGTAGGCTTTTGCAGTCATCCAGGTGAGAGGTCATGGTGCTTTGGACCAGGGGTGGTAGCAATGGGAGTAGTACAAAGTGCTTCGAAAGCTGATGTTTTTGAAGGTAGGGCTGAGAGGATTTGATTAAGGGTCGGGTGAAGGCAAAAGAGGACTCGGAGCTGACTGCTAGACTCCACTCTGGCCTTCCCTTCCCACTGCCTGAGTATATGAATGTGCAGGCTAGCCCCCCAAACCACATCCATTGCCAGTGCATTGATTCCAACCTAGCAACACTGTAGGACAGAGAAAGGCCCCATGCGGTCCCTCTTAATGGAAGCAGACTGCCATAGCTGTCTCCTGCAGAATGACTGGGGAGTTCACACTGCTGGCCAAGTGCTTAGCCGCCGTGCCACCAGGGATCCGGAGGGATAACAGCATGCTAATCATTACAGAACAAAGGAATGTATGTGGCTCAAAACAGGAAAGTTGTGCACCAGGGTTGTATCCTTTTAGTATACGTATCCAATCTTTCCTGAGTGAAAACTCAGAGGACCTGAAGAAGAGTCCAGCATCTCAGGATTGAACAGCCTTCGATATGCAGGTGCTACGACCTTGCTCATTAAAAGCAAGGAGGACTTGTACTTGTGGCTGAAAAATCAAAGGTTGCAACTATCACTATGGACTGCAACTGAATATAAAGAAAACCGAAATCCTCACAACTGGACCGACAGACAACATCATAATAAATGCAGACAAGAACCAGTATCAGGCATCAAAGAACAAAAATCATATCATTGTGAATGAGGGAGTGCAGATTGGGGACCCAAAGCCCACCTGTCGGCAACTGGACATCCCCTTACAGAAGGGTTGTGGGAAGGAGACGAGCCTTTCAGGGTGCAGTGTAGCAATGGTGAAACATACAACTCTAGTTCTTAAATGCGTCCACCCATTCCCCCTCCACTGTCATGATCCCAATTCTATCTGACAAATCTAGCTAGACCAGAGGGTGTACACTGGTACAGATAGGAATTGGAAACACAGGGAATCCAGGACAGATGACCCCTTCAGGACCAGTGGTGAGAGTGGCGATACTGGAGGGTAGAGAGAAGGTGGGGTAGAAAGCGGGAACGGATTACAAGATCTACATATAACCCCCTCCCAGGGGGACGGACAACAAAAGTAGGTGAAGGGAGATGTCGGACAGTGTAAGACATGACAAAATAATAAAAATTTATAAATTATCAAGGGTTCATGGGGGGGAGGCGGGGAGGGAGGGGGAAAATGAGCTGATAGCAAGGGCTCAAGTAGAAAGCAAATATTTTGAGAATGATGATGGCAACACATATACAAATGTGCTTGACACAGTGGATGTATGTATGGATTGTGTTAAGAGTTGTACCAGCCCCCGATAAAATGATTTAAAAAAACAAATGGAGACAAGATTGAAGCTGCCAAGAATTTCATCTTGCTTTGATCCACAGTCAGTGTGTTTAAAAGCAGTGGACAAGAGACCAAGTGACATTGCACTGGGCAACACAAGAGCAAGCATATCATTTTGAGAGCCTGACCCGAGCCATGATACCTTCACGCCCCTCATATGCATGCGTGACAGTTGGACAATGAGTAAGGAAGACCACAGAATTGATGCATTTGAATTATGGTGTTGGTGGAAAATATTTAAAGTACTATGAACTATCAGAAGAACAAACAAAATCTGTGTTGGATTAAGTACAGCCCTAATATTCCTTAGGACAGGATTCCTTAGATCAAGGTAAGACTTTGTCTCGCATACTTTGGACATACTCTCAAGAGAGACCAGTCTTTGGAAAAGGGAATTGTGTTTGCTCAGGTAGACTAGAGAAACAAATCCAGGGAGACTCATGTGTATAAGAAAGAGCTTTATATACAAGAGCAATTGAGTATTGAGAAAACATCCCAACCCAGTCCAGATCAAGTCCATAGGTCTGATATTAGCCCATATGTCCCATACCAATATGTAAATTCCTATTCAGACTCATGCAACACATGCAGTGACGCCAGATGCAGGAAGGTCACAGGCTAGTGGGTGGAAAGTCTTGTGGATCCAGTGGTGGTGTAAGCATCTCAGCTCTGGCACTGGTCTCCACGTGGCTTCTCCAGCTCCAGGGCTCTGGCTGCCATCAGCCTGTCTCTATGTGGCTTATCAACAAGAATGTCTCGCAGGGACTGAGCATGTGTCCCACCTCCAGTGAGCTCTTAATACTCTTAGCACCTCCAAATGAGGTCATCGAGCTGCACCCCTTTACTCTTTTTGTTGTTGTTTGTTTTTTGTTTTTTTTGGTTTTTTTACTCTTAAGTCTCAAATTGACAACAGATTATGTAACTACCACAGGCATCTTGGTTGGTAAAGTAGCACATCAGCACTAAGAGGAAGGCTGTCAAGGAGATGGATCGACACAGTGACTGTCAATGGGTTCAGACATGACAGCTGTAAGGATAGGATGGTGCAGTACTGGGCACTGCTTCATTCTATTGTACATATGGCCACTATGAGTCAGAACCAACTGTACTGCACCTAGCGACAACAATTACTCCATCTTCACATTCTCTTTTCTTGGCAACAGAAATTATAGTTCAGACTGTTAGGGCGCTGGTGGCTATGCAAGCTGTGGCCCCGACTTGGGCCTGTCATTTCAAAGAGAGAATGGAATGCTCAACATCACCCAGTGGAAGATCAGTCCTGGGTCGTGACTAGCTAATTTTTTTTAAATGAACCAGGCTAGAACAGAAGGACTATCCCCCACACATGGTGCGAGACTGTTGTTGTGAGGAGTCATCAAATTGGTCCTGTGGTCCTGCACCATCCTCAGGTATTCCTGTGTCTTCCTCATTTGATCTCCGTCTACTTTAAAAGGAGCCTGGTGGCATCGACTCCGTAAGCAGTGAGGCTTTCTTTACCAAGCATGTCAACTGCTATTAGTGGCCTGCACATTTCCACTGTGTTTAGACACTCGCTGTGTGTCCCAGGTCCGTTTGAGGAACACTGCTGGACCCTGCCCAGTGTTAGGTTCCATGGAACGCTGCCCAGGGTCCTCGGAATCCAGGCTGCCTGTAATCGTACACTTGCTGTACTTGGTGTCAATCCGTAAACCCTTCATTCCTTTTGTTAAAGGCCTCTTTGCTATCCAGATGATGTCCTATTGTAAAGAGTGCTGGGAGGGGAGGAGTTCGCCCTCACTAGCGGTGACTCAGGCCCCTTCTCTGGCAGGGAGGATTTGAGGAGGGGGTGTGTCGGTGCCGGCATCCACTGCATAGCACTCAGTGAGCACACCTGCACTTTTGTTGGGGGTGCTGACCGTCTTTCCAGTTTGCCTGCTTGGGGTGGGGCCTTCGTTTTGATTGTTCCTGTTTGCTGAAAGATGAATGGGCAAGCTTTGTGAGCAGAGAAGCCCGGCTCTGGATTACCATAAGCTTTTCCAGGGCCACGGGCCAGCTGTAACTCGTTCACATCATCATTTCCCAAAGTGGCTGATACCACCCCCTGGGGGGCGCTAGTGTCATCCAGGGGTGCTGCAAAAGCAGGCACCTACACTTTATCCTGGATTATAGGGATCATTGTGTGGGGTGGGGCGAGTCTATTTCTTTCTGAAAAAGGGGCAGTAGGACCAGAGAAGTCTGGAGACCTAGGATTCAGCGGCTGGGCAGGCTGTCGGGGCTCGCCCTCAGGCAGACACAGGCACAGGTGAGAGAGCAGCAGGTGCCTTTCCTTTCTGCTGAGTTTGGTAAGAAAGAGTGAAGGGGGAAGTTACAGTTGGTACTTGTAGCTGTTCATCAGCTCGTCCCCACTGCCTTCCCTGTGGCCCTGCGGTCAGTCTTGCCGATGCTGCAATGGCCCAATGCATCTGCATGTTTGTTGTTAGCTGCCATGGAGCCAGACCGAGTTTTCCGTGCCACAGTTTTCCCCTAGTCTGCCCTGAACCTCTTCTGAAACTGGCCCTGGCCCAGTGTCATCCTTCGGCAGACGTGGGAATGGAGCCCACCACTCTTTCCGCTGGTTTGGGCTTTAGGACTTCCTGCCCCGGGGCTCTTATTGAGACCCTTTGCCCCACTGACCTGTCTTCCCCCCCTGCTGCAGGGGGTACGGCGTGCCGAGGCTTTGGCTATGTCACGTTTTCCATGCCGGAAGATGTTCAGAGGGCCCTCAAGGAGGTCACCACCCTCGAAGGCTGCAAGATCAGCGTCACTCTGGCCAAGAGAAAACTGAGGAACAAGTCTAAGGTCAAGGGAGAGGGTGAGTGTCTGGTCTTGGAAGGGGTCTTCCCCGGGTGAGCAGCAGCCCTGCGAGTGAGAGTGTGTGGCAGCGGGGTCGTCTAGAACGGGAAGCTGCCTCCGTTTCTCTGTCAGGCCCCAAATCAGCCTCTGCCTGTTGTCTCTGCCCTTGTTCACTTCCCAAGTCTGGATAAGCGGTGCTCCTGCGTGTTGCCCCACTTAGCCCCATGGCAAGTGGCGTCTATAGCTCGGAGCTGTAGCTCTTTGCCTGGGATGCTCAGGGACTAGAGGTGGGTGTTTGGGAACACAGACTTTCTATTGCTTCTTTTTAAAGAAAAACTGGAGTCCCCAAAGAAGGTGCCGAAGCCCCCCAAAGCCAAAGTGGCAGACAAGAAAGCCAGATTAATTATCCGGAATCTGAGCTTTAAGGTAAGTGGCAGGAGAAAAGGGGGCTGGGCCTGCCTTCGAGGTGCTGGGAGGCCTTACCAAGATGGCATCATTTCCTTCCTTCCTTCCTTCCTTCCTTCCTTCCTTCCTTCCTTCCTTCCTTCCTTCCTTCCTTCCTTCCTTCCTCACACGGATTCAGAACAGTGGGCCTGGGTCAACGAGACGTAAGGATACTAGTGAAAAGTGTAAAGATGCAATGCTTTCCGAGGGGGACTTTGGCGAAAGGGCGTGGGGGTGGGGGTTCTGTGACTTGCGTCCTTTTCGCCTTGAGAGATGTTGTAAGATGTCCTCTGTCAAGCCCTGTGGTGCCCTAGTCCTAACAACGACAGAGGAGCCAAGCTCTCCAGCGCTTCGTCGTGAGCTCTTGGGAGGCTGATGTTCCGCGGTGCTGGCTTGCTTGTCTCACTGTGCCCTTCCTGCACCTTTGCCTCAGTGTTCGGAAGACGACTTGAAGACGGTGTTTGCTCCGTTCGGAGCTGTCCTCGAAGTGAACATCCCGAGGAAGCCAGGTACTGCAGGCCTGCTTTTGGTCTGGAGAGAATGAAAGGGGTCTGACGTCCCTTGAGCTACGCAACATGTGAAGTAGAAGCACAAGCTGAAGGGGCTTCCTTGTCAGAGCGAGGGTATCGGGCTGCAGACAGTGAGTGAATGGGATTACAATTATTTTAACACATTGCCCTGAGCTAAACCCCGTTCGAAATAGAAACGTGAGCGAGGGGACATTCAAAAGTTGTTGGGAAAATGGAATGAAAGGCTAAAGGGGCATGTCGCTCTCCTTGTGAGCCCGGGTGGAGGTGGTGTAGATAAAGTACCTGGCACAGTGCTTTTCTAGTAGTGGAGACTCAAATCATAGTGCTCACTCCCCAGGGGAGTTTTACTTCTAGTTTGATCCGAAGTCGCCTGAGAAGGCTCCCACAGTGTGAGGAAAGCCCTGCCTTCCCAGGCCTGAGTTAGGGGGTTCCCGGCTGGTTGCTGGGGCTCTGGCCATCCTGCCAGGCTGCGTGAATGTACTTTTCCTTCTCAATCTTAAAGCTCTGTCAACTCCCCACCTACTAACTCTTCACTTCTCTGTGCGTGTGTCTGCACACAGATGGGAAGATGCGTGGCTTTGCTTTCGTTCAGTTCAAGAACCTCCTAGAAGCAGGGAAAGCTCTCAAAGGCATGAACATGAAAGAGATCAAAGGTAAGCTTTCTAGACCACGTCGTTGGCCCAGATATCGCTGGTGTTTAGGGGACCTGGCACAGTGACCCACTTTCTACGTGGCCAGAGAGGAGCCTGGAAGCCACTGTGCACTTGATCCCATGTCAGCAAGGGCATCCTGGCGTTCCCTGCCCTTCCTTGGTGATGAAGGTATGGCTGAAGAAAGCTGTCCTTGAAAATAGTGAGGGATAGTGCGGCTATAGGTGCAAGTGGAAGTTAGAGAACATGGGTGGCAGGTTTCTCTTTGGGCTAAATTTTCATAACTTTGCCCCTTGTGTGTGCCACCACATTCCTGGGTATATTTGCAGTGAAGGTAAATGCCCGCTTCCTAATATCCTCTCCGGAACTTGCACCCGTGTGTGGCATGCTCCCTTTCTCTCCCACACCAGCTCAGGGTCCCTGCCTGTCCTGCCCTGCGGCTGCTCAGCGTGCACTGTTACTGCAGGATGGCCTGTGGAGTGTGCAGCCCTGGTGGTGGTGTGGGTACACATTGGGCTGCTGAGTACAAGGTCAGCAGTTTGAAACCACCAGCCTCTCCACAGAGAAAGATGTGGCTTTCTTCTCCTGTACAAAGTTAACAGTCTCGGAAACTCACAGGGGCGGTTCCACCCTGGCCTGTAGAGGTCAGAATTTACTCGCAATGGCAGTGAGTTTGGGTTTTGTTTGGTCTATATAACAGTATTCCCCCCTGGGAAAGGCAACGTTTCTGTTCATGGATGAATGGGTTAAGGGTTATCAGCTTAACTCGATGCTGGGAGTTTGATTTAAGGACCAGCATTCCCTGGGCTGCCACTGTCTTTGACCGCACCGGTTCCGGTACGGTCTTTGGTGGTCAGACATGGGCAGGAGGACAGCTTTCCAAGTGACACTTGTGTCTGGCAGGGCGGACAGTGGCTGTGGACTGGGCTGTGGCGAAGGATAAATACAAAGGCTCTCATGCTGTCCCCGCCGAGGCTGCAGGTAAGATGTGGGTTGGGTGGGGGTGGAATGTGGACACATCTTGTGACTGGATTCGAGGTTTAAGGCAGCAGTTGTCAACCTGTAGGTTGAGACTCCTTTGGCCGGGGTGGGGTGTATGTCGAACAACCCTTTCACGGGGGTCGCCCGATTCATCACAGTAGCAAAATGACAGTTATGAAGTAGCAGTGAAAATAGTGTTATGATTGTGGGGGGGGGGGGGGTCGCCACAACATGAGGAACTGTATGAAAGGGTCGTGGCATGAGGAAGGGTGAGAACCACTGTTTTAAGGAAATACTGGGCTGGTGGTATCAAAAGCACAAGATTAACCAAACCTGAGAGAAGAGAAACGGCGTGTCTGTTGGCCCAAGTGGTTTGTCCCGCAGTCGGATCTTCTCAGTGGAAAGCCCCTCCTTGAGGGTGGACACTGTGAAGAGCAGGGTCTGAGTCGGTCCTACCAATCCCTTCCTGTTCCCAGCATCCTCCTAACAGAGATGGATGGAACATCAAGGAGAGGGAAACTTTAAACTTGAGTGCCATTCAGAAACCAATTGGCCTTTAGCACCAGAATCCAGAGAAGCTCACTGGTTTCAAGCTGACAGCCAGGCCCCGGCGTGAGCGCCATGCTGGCCCTGAGCCTGAGCCGGAGCTGTGGATGGTGGTGGGGGGCTCAGTGGCTGCATCTCCCATTCTGGGCCAAGTAGCCTTCAGGCTTCTGATGAGGGCACAGACACCAGAGGGGCCCGGGCGATGAGGTGTTTTGTTGTTGTCAGCCCAGCTTTCCCCCTGATGGTGACTCCTGTTATACATAGGGAGATTCTGTCCATCTCTTGTGACGGTAACCTTATTGTGATACCCAGCTTTCTGGACCTTCCTCTGTAGGAGACAGAGAGAACCCTGAACCGAAACAGCAAGGATCAGGGAAAGAGAATGGCAGAGAGGAGGAGGAGGGTGACAGCGATGATGACGAAGGGGATGGAGATGAAGACGAGGAAGAAGAGTCAACGATGCCCAAGCCCGTGCAGGTCCAGCAGAGGTGAGCAGCTCAGCCTGGCGCCACAGGGGACGACTCGAGAGGCTCTCGTCTCTGAGAAGGAAAAGGATCCTCTCTGTCCCGCCCCCCTCCGTGCAGACGTGTCTCCCAACAACAGGCATGCTCACAGAACGAGGGAACGCTCAGCAAGCAGACCCGAAGGTCTTGCGTGGTCTGCCAGAGCCCTTAGCGTGGGCGAGTCAATTGTGGGAAAATGCGGAGTGCGGTCCTGGTGCCAAATGGGCTCCTTGGCCAGCCTGGGTCCTGAGTCCTGGCCCTGCCGTTCCAGGGCTGTCAAGAGAGCTGCGCCTGCAGAGAGCAGCGAAGAGGATCCCTCTGATGACGACGAGGACAGTGACCTTGAGCGAGGAGATGGGACCGGCAATGACAGCGAGGAACTGAGCGACGTGGACTCTGACGAGCAGGAGAATGAAGGTTTGTCTGCCATCGCTGATGCTAGAGGCCCCCCCCCCCCCCCAATCAGCCGAGAGGCCTCTTGAAAGTGGCCCCGAAAGTGTTCTATCTTTATGGACCGCTGACAAGGAAGCTGCCGTGCCCCTCGCGTCTTCAGATGGTCGGTTTGGAGTACTGCTTGAGGGTTCGGCTCTTGTCTCAGAGAAGTGGACACCTAGGTCAGTGCTGAGCCCCCGACCTTTCTTTCTGGGTTACCGCAGTTGAGTGCATCACGGGGTAAACGGGGAAGAGCTGTAACCAGTCCCTCTCGTGCCATTATGGAGACTGTAGGGGGTGTGCACGGGTCACACATTGAGAAAGGCAGGCCGTTATACACAATGAGGACCTGGTTGGGTGGAAACCTCTATTCAGTTACCTGCTTCCATTTTTGTAAGAAGCTGGGCTGTGGTGATGAGGCCCTGCCGTGAGGAGGTGGTCTGTGGTGTGCTGCCCCTCTGCGGGAGGGAGGTGAGGCTGTCTGCTCCCCTCAAGGTTTCCAGCTCCAGGACCCTGCGGAGCAGTTCCTCCCTGTGCCGGGGCCACTGCGCCCTGTGGCAGGCTCCATGGCGCAGGGCAGGCTCCATGGTGGCGGGTTGTGGAATGGAAACTTGAACTCTGCAGGGGCTGAGACGCTGCCCTCTGTTAACCACTCCTCACGCGCTTGGATACATGGTTATGAGGGAGAGTTGGGGTTTTAAAGTTACAGTGTGGAGAGTGTAACAGCAAGTCAGGGCTCCTCACCAGTCTCCCAGCAGCCTCCCCAGGCACCCTCGTTTCTTGTGTAGTCTTCTGGAACATGGGAAATGTCTGTCCGAATAAGCAGAAATGTCTCTGCTTGAGGGGAAGCAAGTATCCTGTCCCCCGGATTCTCACACTTCAGGCCTCGACCCCCCAGAGGCCCCCACTGTTACAGCCTTCCCCCGTGTGTGTGGGTGTGAGTGTATGCATGTGTATATATATTTTAGCAAACGCACACATCCATACACACATGGATGCGGTAGGATATTTTAAATGACCCTTTTTTTTGTCTGCTCAAGAGTTTAAAATTATTTCAAAATAGAATTATATTTCAAGAAATGCATCTGCTCCCAGCAGCATCTGGGTCTCCCCCGCCTTTACCACGGCACTCTCCCCGGTCCGCCCTGGTTCGCCTGTACGCAGCTTTCCTTCACGGGAGAGTGAGTTGGGGCCTCCTTCCATAGAGCTGCATATCCTTCGTCCGTTAAAGTAGTTTTTCTTACTGATTTAAACAAGATCTTTAGAGATTGAGGAAGTTAGCCCTTTGTCGCCGCGGCTTCCACTATTTCACATTCCCGGTTTGTTTGTCTTTTCATGCTAGATGTACAAATCTCAAAGAAAAAGCAGAGGAAATTACCCTCTGACGTGAGTGAAGGGAAGACTGTTTTTATCAGGTACGTGCTTGTCACCGATGTCGATTCCTTCCCTTCTCCCTCCCTCCCTCCCTCCTTTCCTCCTCACTGGGCGTGGGACCCAGGCTAGCTAGGAAGCTAGGCCTCTCTCAGGAGCACCTCTGATCCCAGGAACATTCCAGACGTGTGGGAGAACTCACCAGGGTCCATGTCTTGTTCTCGTGTAGATTTCATTCTCTGAAGCTGGGACATCACTGCCTGCTGTGTTAGGTAGGACCTGGGGGTGGGAGTGGGAGACTGCCTTGTCAGTCTGCTGGCTTCCCGAGGTTGGCATTGTCCTGGGTCAGGACATGTCAGTGCACCCGACTGTGAGGGCCCAACTGCCTGAGCAGGGCCGTGTGGGTCTTAATTCAGAGGTTTGTATTTTAACCTCTGTACGCAAAAGTTAAAACTTAGGCAGTTTTTGTCATGGCAGTAAGTTTTTTTTTAATTATAGAAAATGTAGAGAATAAGTGAGCAAAAAGAACCACCCCCCTTCCCCAAAATGAAATGACCCTTAACCGCTGCTCAGAGGACACCTCACCGATCCCCATCACCACTGCTTCGGCTCTTGGCCGCGCTCAGCCATTCATTCTCTCAGCAGCATGTCCCTCATCATTTTACAGCGGTTCTGGAAGAAGTACCATGTAAATAACTTGACAGGGGGACGAGGGGAGCAGAGGCATTCAGGGGGTTGGACTGGAGCTTGAGACTCGGAAAGAACACGGAAACAGGGATGGGGGGTTGGCAGCTGGGCAGACTGGAAGGCAGGCATTGTGCGGCTAGGAAGTGTCTTCTTTCAGAACACTTTTACCTGGCCTGCTCTGTGAGGTCGGACCATCTGAGTGAGAGGGGAGGAGCTACATGTTAGGGTCTGTTTGTCTACTCCTGGGGGAATGAGGACCTTTGACTGTGGGTTGACATTTCCGACCAAGTCGCCCTCTCACGTTTCTTGGTCCCTCTGAGAGAAGTACGGAGAATCCTCCTTTTCCGTTGGCTGGTAAGCCTCACCAGTGTGCCGCTGCTTTTCCTTTGTAAGATTTTAACTGAACTGCTGGACTGGCGTTCAGAGCCACCAAACAACAGCAGCAAATCTAAACCCCATGGCTTTCGAGTCTGATCCGACTGAGAGCGACCCTGGGCAGAGTTTCTGAGGCTGAACATTGTTGTGGGCGCGCACAGCCTCATCTTTCACTGGGGAGCCGCTGGGGGGTGAGGCCGCTTTGTGGCTCAGAGCCCAAGGCTCACCGGACAGCGCCCTCAGGGCGCCGCACCGCAGAGGAGAAAATGGTGAGGTTAATTGTTCACGAAGCAGTCTCACAGGCTGGGAGGTGGGGAACCAGCTTAGGGGGCTGAGGCTTTCTCTCCGGGTGATGAGTGCTGTGCGGAACCTGCTTTGTCCTGTGCATTCGTCTTCGCCCACAGCTCGGTGAAATGTTTCACGTGTGCAGCCCACCCACTACCACCCAGATCAGATGTAGCACTGCACTCGCAGTTCCCAGGGATCTCTTGGGGGGCCCTGCTCTTCTGAAGTGAACCTGAGTCCCTAACTTGGGGGTTCGCCATATGGCCTTGTTTCAGATTGCTGGGAGAGATTCTGGTTCCGGGCAGGCTCATGTGGGACAGACCTGACTGCTGGGCGCCACCCCTGCATCTGGAGCTGTGCCTGAGCAGTGGGACGTGGTGGCGAGCCAGGGACCCCTCCCCCGGATGTCGGACTCACTGAACCTATTCCAGAACCCGGGCTCTCGCTTTTTAAATGGACCTTGCCTCTGACCTTCTGGTGGTCTTCCACAGAAACCTGTCCTTTGACTCGGAAGAAGAAGACCTTGGGGAGCTGCTTCAGCAGTTTGGGGATCTCAAATACGTCCGCATAGTCTTGCATCCAGACACAGAGCACTCCAAAGGTAACGGCTGCCCACTGGCCGGGGTCCCTGCTGGAGGGGTGACCTGGCTGTCTAGCCTGGGTCTCTCTCCTGTAGAAGCTTTGTCAACCCTGCCTGATTGCCCATAGGGTAATGGAGTCCATGTGGTGTCAGCCTTTGGGTTTCGGCGTGAGCTCATCTCGGGAATTCAGCACTCCACATTGCTGGCGATTCTTGGTGTGCATTTTAGTTGCTTTGGTGGGAGATGGGTGCCTGTGTTGTCATGGCAGTCGTCAGGGAACTAGGTGGCAGGAGGCTCCTCTGCCCGCTGCTGACAGGCAAGCAGCTCTCTGCTTATCTCGAGTCTGATTTCACCGACCCCAGTCCTCAGGGAGCAGTGAGCCCAGACTTTTTCTGACTCCCGGTTCCTGGGAGGTCTCGCAGGAGAGCTGTGAACTCCAGGAAAACGCCCCACTGCTGGATCCTTGCCGGGGAATAAGAATCTCCTTCCGAAAGCTTCGTGTTGAGACGTGGTTGGCGGTTTTCCCCTCAGCCCTCTAGGATGTGCAGAGGCAGAATGGTGGATGGAGCGCGGAGCCATCTAGCCCAGCCAGGCTGCGGACCAGTGGGGCCGAGGCACCTCGCTCCACCTGGGGGCTCCTCACTCAGGTGCTTTTGCTCGTGAATGTTCAGTTACCCATCCTGGACCATCTCCATTTTCATTCTGGTTTCCTGAGAACAGGCCTCCTGAGTTGCATGGTGCCCGCAGTACTGGCCGCCTGCCGGCCCCCTGATGCCGCCCGCACCTTTGTCTCGTCTCGGCTGCCAGGGGAGACGGGGTAGACTGACTTGCTGCATCTCTTTCTTGGTCTCTTAATGTGAGCCGAGAGTACCTGGTTTTCATAGCGCCGTGTTAGTGACTGCTGCTCCCGCGCTGTCGTTCCTGAGCTCACGTGAAATCTTTCTGACACCTCTCTGCCCAGGGCTCCTCTGCCTGCCCGAGCTCAGTGCCACCTGGTGGCTTTCAGGGGAATGGTACGACAGTGCCCAGTGCCGACCCTGGAGATGCCACGGGCACCATTCTTACCCACTCGAGAAGGCCCTGCTGTCTTCCTACAAACAGTCTGGTTGGCCTGTTAGGGACACTGGCCCCATATTGCCGCCACCTTGTCTCTTTGTATAAGCCAGGCACTGTGCTAAGTGCTAGGAAGAAAGGTCTTTATTCCTGAGCCGTGCCGTCTCTGCAAAGTTCCCTCCTGGCTGGCGGAGCTGTGGACCAGGGGATTCAGAAGGGGGACCCTGAGGAGGGAAGGCTGCCCCAGGTGGTGACCTTTGTCAGTGGGTGCCGTTTCTCCTTGGGCAGGAGGGCGATGCCTGAGCAGCTCCAGGAAACTGGCGTCGGGTCCGGAGAGGAGGCACAGGGTAGAGATACCAACGGTGTACGAGTCTTTGCCGCCTGCTGTCAGACGGACTTCTGGAGTCCTGCTTTCTGCTGAAAGCAGCTGCTTCATCGCGCTGGCTGAGGTGGGGGGTGGAGAGGCTCCTGCCTCTCTGATCCCTGCTGGAGGCCCCAACCTTTCTCTGGGCCTTCCTCCCCCGGCACGCACCCGCCATCCCCCCTGTTGCGATTGCTGGCCTGTGCCACCGAATATCACTGTTGTCCCCACTCAGCACCCGGTCCGCTTCCTGTGGAGAGCGCTCAGGAGGAGGGAGGTGGTGCCTTCGCCCTGCAGTGCGGCTGTGCAGGGATCCCACAGAAGGTGTTTCAGCAGCAGAAATGTACTTCCCAGTCAGAGGCCTGATCTGAACTCAGGGTGCCGGCTCTGGGTGCACTGCCTCGCACCTCTGGGGAAAAGTCCTGCCTCTCCCCATCTTTCCTTTGCGATGGTCGCGAGTCTGGGCTTCCAGCTTCCCTCAGCACTGCTGGCTTCGTCTGCTTGTTAGACCTCAGAGGAGAGCGAGTGGAGACAGGCCCAGACTAACACTGCGCCCCGCACGTAACACAGATAGCGCAGGGTTAGCGGGAACAGCACACCGGCGTACTGGGGGAGGAGCACGATTTAATCCATAACCGATGGTGAGGCTAAAGCTCGAGGAAGCGTTGGAAACGACGCCGGAAGTATTAAGGTCCCACTGAGAGTGCAGCTCCTGTTGTCACCTGTCCAGTGGGCCTGAGGGCAGACGCCTGCCCCTCTGCCCCGTCAGGTGGCCTGTGTGTAGTGTTTGCCTTTGGCCTTCAGGCAGGTCAGCAGAGTGTGCATCACCTGGACTGTATTTTTATGCAAATAGCACAGGTGCCTCAGATGTGTCTTTTACGGGTTTTCTGCAGGATGTGCGTTTGCCCAGTTCCTGACTCAGGAAGCTGCTCAGAAATGCTTGGCTGCTGCTTCTCCAGAGACCGAGGTAAGGAAGCCATTGGCCTCCAGCGTCCATGCAAATGGCTCCAGTAGGCCGCGGCTGAGGGTCACACAGGGCTTCCCTCTGGTTCTCCCCAGTGATGATAGCGATTGAATAAACTAGCTTACTGAGCACTTCGCCAGAGTCGGCAGAGCGCTCAGCGCATCCCCTGCCTGGCGTGCGCAGTCCTCCCTGCAGCCACAGGCTTAGGAAGCAGGTGTGATAATAGTATCTAGTGTGCTTGGATTGACCCTGGGCTGCGGAGATAGAGACAGCCATCGTGGAAGTGCAGTGAATGTCGGAGAGTGTGTGGCCCATGGGGAGTTTTACGGTGTGGCCTCTAAACCCACAGGTTCCGTGTCTGGGGCCCTCACATCCTTAGAGCTGCCGTGGCGCACATTCCCTGAGCAGCGTCAGCACGCAGCCATTTCTGCTGTCTTAGGAGACGAGAGTCCGCTTGTGCCCACATCATTCCCCAGAAGCTGGGCTTAGGTGGGCACTGCTCAGCCCCCCCAGGAAAGAAACTGTTTGCTGCTGGCTGCCGTGTGTGTGTGCACACGGGGTGGTGTGTACAACTGTCCTCAGTGTCGCAGGCTCTGTGATCCAGGAGTGTGGCCTTGCAGCCCGCTGAGCAGAGGCCTCCTGGGAGCTGAGTTCTAGAGCAAAACTGGGGTGCTGGGGTGTGTGTGCTATAACATCCTTGCGGTTCTTTGATTCTCTCTGGTTCGTCCTGACCGGATGGGGTTGCTCTCCTCTGCAGGGTGGTGGGCTGAAGCTGGATGGCCGGCAGCTTAGGGTTGACTTGGCCGTGACCCGGGACGAGGCTGCAAAGCTTCAGACGAAGAAGGTGAAGAAGCCCACTGGCACGCGGAACCTCTACCTGGCCAGAGAAGGCTGTGAGTAGTGAGGCTGAAGCGTGCATGGCCTTTGAGCTGCTGGCACGGACTCTGTGGCTTTCCGTGAGGGAGCCGGGACCTGGTTGTCAGGGACCCTGCCCCACGCCTGAGCCTGCAGGGCGGCAGGGCAAAGAGGGAGGAGAAACCCAAATTCTCTTGGCCCGTTTTCATTCCCAAGAGGAAGCTCTCTGAAGGAGTTGCAGATGATGATGAAAATTGCTCTGTGGAGTTGCAGGGAGGTGGAATTGCACCCTGCCTCTTCTCCTTACTGTCGGGAGTCAGAGATGCGCTCTCGGTACCCAAAGAGCCCCATCTCCTGGGTCACACCCACTGGTCAGCCTGCCTCTGCCCAGCTGCGCTGGCCTCGGCCACTGGGCCCCGAGGACTCGGCTCTGGGGCTGCCTTCAGCACAGTGAGGGCCCCTAGGGTCAGGACAGGGGCAGCCTCAAAGGGGAGCTGCTGACTCTTCACAGCCGACAGGGAACCCGTCTCCGAGCTCCTGGGCCTATGTATGGACTCTGGGTATGTATGTGAGGAGGAGGGCCAGACAGAGTCCAGAGTGTTCACCCCGCGAGCACCTCGGGGTCTACGTTGATTTCTGGGCCTCCCTAAGCTGTGTCCTGGCCCAGAGAGTCCTCTGGGCGCTAGCAGAGTCCAGTCACTTTCCTCGTGTTGCCCCCCTGAAAACCCTGGCTGACAGGCCGGCCTTTCTCCTGCTTGCAGTGATCCGGGCTGGGACGAAGGCTGCAGAGGGCGTGAGCGCTGCGGACATGGCCAAGAGAGAGCGGGTGAGTGGGTGGGCCCTGGCCTTGGGCTCTGTACAGCTTAGCACGGCCCCTCCAGAGCCTCCAAATGCACGGTGCCCTCAGCAGGGTGAATTTCCAAAGAGCTGCCCTGCTTCCCATCTGTGTTAAAGAAGCCACCAGGCTGCTGGATATTGCATCCACCGTGAGGCCACTGCATGCACAGACCTGGGTCTCTTGTCCCAACAGGGTACAGCAGGGCATATTTGCTGAAGCGTATCATGGGAGTTTTCACGTCACGGGGTCCAGCTGGAATTGTTACTGTTCATTGGTGCCATTCCGTTCCTTTGCTGTTTGATGCTATTAGTTCCCTCTAACTTTTATGTTCACCCGTAGAGCTTACCTTCTGTCAGCCTCTGGTTGATGTAGTGGTTACGTGTTGGGCTGCTAACCACAAGGTCCGAAGTTTGACACTACCAGCCGCTCTGCAGGAGAAAGAGGGGGCTCTTTACTCCTGTTTCAGTCTCAGAATCAGTCTCAGGGGCAGTTTTGCTCTGTCCTGTAGGGTCACTATGAGTCAGCATCCACTCGATGGCAGTGGATGAGAGCTTACCTTCTAGAAGCTAAGGTAGATGGGAATGGTTAAGATGTGCAGGCGTTCACAGAATTAATTTGCTTTGGAACCTTAAAGTGCAATTGATGCTGAGCAGGGAGGAGACAGTGGTGGCAGCAGGAGGCTAGATACCTTCTTCATGGGCCTCAGCTCTAGGCGAGGGTTCCAAGCCTTTTGGGGGAGCAGGGGGAGGTCCTAGGAATTGGGTGCCTCACCTGGGGCCTCTCCAGCCTTTTTCTGATCATGACAGCATAGTGACGTGTGGTGTTTCTCTTAGCAACAACTTTGCCAGCAAGAGCACTCTCTGGTAGGTATGCCCTACAGGGAGCCAGACCATTAGCTGAGGCTTACTGCCCCCCCCCCCCCAGTCTCCTGAGGGCTGGGGTCGGTAGTGTGTTAGCACCTTATCACACACGGTGCAGCAGGAAGCAGGAGACGTGAGCAGAGGGAACGGCAGATATATTTAAGGCCTTTATCTGTGAACCTTTTAAAAGACATGTTGGCAGAAGGATGCCGTCCTTTGGCTGTAGACCCAGGTCCGCAGCTCCGGGGTTGGGCAGCAGCACAGTGGCAGCAGGGTCTGGGGCAGAGTGCGCTTCTGTGATGGTGGAAAGAAAGCCATTGGCCTTAGGGTGGCAGCATTGAGGCGAGACCGTGTTCGCTCACAAAATCTTTGAATAAATTCCATTTCCTTCTGGAAGGACTAGGTCCTGGTTGGAGTTGGGAGGTGACTAAGGGCTGGCACCCAGCTGTGCGCCATAGCTGTATTGGGCCTTTGCTTAGAGCTGGGGGTTCCAGCGTGTTCTCATTTAGGGCTCCTGGCAGGCTGGGAGGTGGGGGTGCGTTACACTTGGAGTTGCAGTTATGTTTGGTAGGTGGGAAAATTGATGCTTACCTACCGCTTCTGCAGGGAGGGCTGGATTTCGAGCCCCCGTCTCCGCCCATGGTCTCCCCACCCCCCACCTCACCTCCTTGTCCCGTGGCTCCCCCCACCCCCAACCATGGAACACTCAGGCGACCAAGGCCCTCCTCTTCCGGCGTGTCTGGTTGTGGCGGGGCCTCGGTGCTCCTCTGCAGAGAGCTGGGCCTGCCGCCAACCCCGTGTTCTGCTTTCAGTTTGAGCTGCTGAAGCACCAGAAACTCAAGGACCAGAATATCTTCGTCTCCCAGACCAGGCTGTGCCTGCACAACCTCCCCAAGGCCGTGGACGACCAGCAGCTGCGGAAACTGCTGCTGAGTGCCACCCGCGGGCAGAAGGGGGCCCGCCTCAAGGAGGTGAGTGCTGCCTACCCACCGCTGCTGACTGAGGCTCCTTGGACTCTGTCGGGTCGGGGGGACGGGGTTGCCGGTTCTCACCTTTTCCCATGTGAGAACTGCCTTTCATGTCCCAAGAGCCGGAGGTGCTGCTGTCTGCAGGGCATGGAGTGAGTGGGTGCCGAGTGCCGCTGTGTGCACTGCCCTTCTGAAGGGCATTGTACTCCCAGTTAGCTCTGACCTCATCAGAGGGCTCCTCGGGGCCACCTGAGTCTTTAGCCTGGCGCAGAACCGTGGCTGCACACAGGCCTCCCCTGCCCGGCGCCCGGCTCCTGGCTCCTGTCCTCGGTCAGTGTGTTCAATTCCGTCACCTCAGCCTCGCTCCGGGCCTCACGGGACCCCCTTCAGAATGCCTGGCTTAGGGTCTGGGGCAGCACAGAGCGGGCACAGAACTGCCCAGGGCCCACATTGCTAGTGGACAGCTGGGTGTGTTCCTGGCCTGGGGCCAGGTGTGTGACTTCTCGTGTTAGCATCCACATCCTTACAAAGGGGCTGATGTTGAAAACCTGCTGGAATTAGAGGTGTGGATTTGCCTTTGATCATGGCATGACGCCAGGTTTGCTTTACATGTTTTGTAGGTGTATGAGCAAACACTGGCTTTTCAAATAAAAAAACCAAAAAAAAAAAGGCTCAGCGCCCCCCTGGCCATTAAAAAAAGTCTGTGCATGCATAGCCCATCCTCCGGGATGAAGTGTAGGTGTCTACTCTTGCAGCCCTGGCATCCTCGCAGCGTCCACCAGGGGGCAGTACCGCCCACTCTGGGAAACTGGCTCAGCATCTGGGGAAGATTGCTCCCTCATGCTCCTTGAGGCCAGGGCCTCCGTTGGGCAGTGCTTGACCCCCCTCAGCTCACACCTCAGTTCCAGGCTCTGAGCAGGCCCCCCACCCACAGGCCCTGAGCTGCTCCAGTCTGTGCGAACAGCAGCTTCCAGGGGTAACAGCATGTAAGTGAGCAGTTTTCCCCAAGTGCCCTGCCATTCCTGGCCCCGGGATGGGCTGGGAGCCGTGTTGAGCAACCCGGCCTGCACTTCTGAGTCTGTGCTGTGTAGGCTCTCCCCCAGCCTGCAGTGTCTCTGTGTACAGCTGTCAGGCCTCTTCCTCCACTCAACTCCCTCAGCAGGCAGCAGGAGGTACCACCAACCCCTCAGCTTGTCCGCATGTCCCTTCCTTGTGTGCATATTCGTAGGTCTATGCTGATAGCTGTGTGGACCGTAAGCCTTTGGAAAGCAGGCCCCCTGTTTGGTGTGCTGGCCACACTCAGCACAGGCCTTCCTGGACCACCCTGGACCTGCTCTCGGTGCCCCCCTGGCAGCTGCCCACTCGGTAACAACTGCTCTCTGCTGCTTCCTCGTCCAGTGCAGGGTGATGCGAGACCTGAAAGGCGCTCACGGGAACACCAGAGGCCAGTCGCTGGGCTACGCCTTTGCAGAGTTCCAGGCCCACGAGCACGCCCTGGCCGCCCTGCGCCACCTCAACAACAACCCGGACATCTACGGGTCACAGAAGGTGAGCCGGCTCTTGTGAACCAGCCTCTCCCTTCAAGGGGAGGAAGCCCCGTAGTGGGGCTGTTGGGGGGCAGCTCTGTGCTTTGGCTGACGGCAGGTCTGTCTCCCTCCGACAGAGGCCGATAGTGGAGTTTTCTCTGGAAGACCGGCGGAAGCTGAAGGTGAAGGAGCTCAGGCTCCAGCGCAGCCTGGTAGGCCCCCCTCCCTTCCTCCCCCCCAGCCTCGAATTCTGCTCTGTTCAGTGGGTGGCTCTGCCCATGGAGTAGACCCCTGGTTCTTGGCCATGGTCATGTACTCTCAGGTCCCTCAGACCTCCCTCTGTGGCCCACCTTGTGATCGCTGCACAGGAGTCTGTCCAGGAAAGAACGGGGGAGTCGGACTCCTCAGTGGGGCCCAGAAGGAGGTTGTCCATCATCCGTCAGCTTTCCGCCCTGTGGAGAGCGACTGTGGGGAGCCCACGGGGCCGTGAGTCAGGGTGAGACTGTGGCAGTGAGTTGGGCTGTTGGGTTTGGTCCGTTCCAGCCGTCCGTCCACGCTGTCATTCCCGCTTCCTCTCGGATGGCCCAGGAAGGGTGTTGCCCCAAGGCATCAGCCCTGTTCTTCATCCAGTGTGGGGTCAGGGGAACACAGGGAGGGCCGTGCCCACACCCCGCTCTGCCCCTTTCTCACTGCATGCCCCTCAGCAAGTTAGGACCTCTCTGTGCGTCCATCCTGGGTTTTCAGGGAGATAGGCATCAGTCACACTCTAGCGTTCCAGGAGCTAATACACGAAGGTGCTCGTGTGCCACGTGGTCAGCATTTCTGAGCCCCAGGACCCACGACCCCCCGCAGCTCTTGCACGCTGCCTCACCAGCACAGAGCGCACCGCTTGTGCAGGGTCCTCAGAACAGGGCTGGAGAGGGGCGGTTGCCGTGGCGAGCTTGGTGGCTGGCTATTACGGAGACAGCGAGCTGTTTGCTGCCTTGCGCCTTGCGCCATTGCATCCAAGGAGATTCCTGGGCTGTGCCTGCCTTGGTTCTTACCTCACAGGATGAAGCTGGGGTTGTCGCCCCCATCCTCTGTCCCCCGCCTCCTGGCTGTTAGCCACTGGTGTGACAGGACTTGGGAACTGCTTATCATCTCTCTCCGGTTCAGGAGGAGACGTCCCCCGTATCCCGCTCACAGAGCTTCTCTTCTGTGGAATATTTCTACCAAAGACCCCTTGTCCAGAAACCTGACTGTGTCTTCTGGTTTTGTGCAGCAAAAGTTGAGGCCCAAGCCTGCCCCTGGTAAGCCGCAGCTGGCGCCCTCCACCCCGGGGAAGCAGCAGCTTCAGAAGGCAGCTCCCCACCAGGCCCAGGGCCAGAGCCAGGTGCCCCCGGAGCAGGAGGGGACGGCGTGGGCGGGCTTCCAGACCAAGGCTGAAGTGGAACATGTGGAGCTCCCTGGTGGGAAGAAGAGGAGGAAGGTCCTGGCGCTCCCCTCGCACCGAGGCCCCAAGATCAGGTGAGCGGGGCCGGGCACCGAGGGGAGCTGCGCGGCACCACACCTCTTCTGCACCGCTGGCTCGGGGCCCTCCCGCTTCCACACCGAGGGTCCTACAGAGTTGTCCTTGCCCCAGCAGAGCTGTCGCTCAGGTCAGGTGGAGGTGGGGGCTTCTCTTGTGAGGAGCTGCTCCTAGTTGGCTGAGGGCTCCTCCCAGAGTTTCCGTGGGGGCCACACACTTGGGGGATGCCCAGGAGGGGACCTCTAACTGGCTTGGCGAAGGCCCCGCAGATCTGAAAGCTGGAATCGGGTGCAGAGGTGGAAGCTCCAAGCAGCCTGCTGAAGGCACTCCTTTCAGGGTTCAGCACTTCATGGAACAAGAGGCCCTATTAGAGGGTTGTCCTCTGGCCCAGAGCCCTGAGGCGAGCGCTGACCGCTGTCTGATTGCAGGTTGCGGGACAAAGGCAAGGCGAAGCCTCTCCCGACCAGTAAGCTGAAGCCCCAGCCCAAGCAGAAGCGGCAGGAGAAGCAGAAGCTGCCGTCCAAGCAGGTGAGTTCTGTGGGAAGTGGCTCCGGGCTGCCGGCCACTGCGTCCCAGCTAATGCACCTGTCACAGCCAGAGTACAGACCGGCCCTGTCACTGTGCCGCCACCAGGGCTTTGTCTTCCTGGCTTCCCAGATGGGCTCACCCTCGAGCATGTTCATGCTGGCCCACTTCGTGTGACCAGGCCATGAACGGATCATAATCAGAATCCGTGTGTTCAGGAGCCCCGGTGGCACAGCGGGTTACAAGGTGAGCTGCCAACTGCAAGGTCAGCAGCTGAACCCACTGGGCGCTGTGTGGGAGGAGGTGAGACCTTGTTCTCCCGGAAAGATGCTGACGTGATCCTGGAACTCCCCCGTTGCCCAAACCCAATCTCACACTTGATGCATTTCTGGTGAGAGCAATTCCGTCTCGGTGCCGGGTACTTCCTGTTGCCGGGTGTCACGGGGCACCTGGTGTCCTGCTGCCTTTTTTCCGTGATGCTGAGATCAATCAGTAGCCTTAGCGGTTGCCTGTCTTATCCCTCCATTGATCATTTCCTCAGCCACCGTCCCCTAATGGCCTGAGTGTTACCTGGGCCCCTGGTCTCCGTACAGGCGGCAGAATAATGCTTCTGAGTCTGTCCTTCCTTTTGCATTTCTCAGCTGCTAACCACAAGGTTAGTGGTTCAAAACCATCAACCACTCCAAGAGAGAAAGACTAGGCTTTCTACTCCCATCAAGAGTTACAGTCTGCTCCTGTGTGGGAAGGAGACATTCCTGATAATGAAGAAATAGAGTTTCTTATGATTCCATCTGAGGCGAAATGAATATCTCCTAGATGAAGAATAAGTACTGAATGTTACTATGTGATGAAAAACAAGTACTAAACGTTACTATGTATACGTAGTTTCTGGGTTACAGGCTCAGAAACCCACAGGGGCAGTTCTTTGCTGTCTTGTAGAGTCGCTGTGAGTCGTCGGCATCGACTCCGTGGCAGTGAGCCAGTGAGCCAGTGTAGAATTCCAGGAAGCTCCCTCGTGCACGTGGTGACTACCAGAGGCCAGCAGCAGACATACCTGCCTGAGCTTCCCCTCAGCACTTTGCAGAGGGATGACTTGGGGCCTTCTCCCACAGTGACCAGCGAGATTTCTCAGTGCCGGGAGTTGCTGGGTTTGTAGAAACCTGACCTGTGTCGGTCAAGTGCAGTCTTGCTTGCATCCCTTCAGGCTGGCCACAGAGTTCTTGGACGTTTGTCTCTGAAGGTGTCCTTGGTTTCCACCAGAGCGGCTCCTTCTCCGCAGATGCTGCCTAGGAGCACCCAGTCAGCCTGCTTCCTAGGAGCGGAGGTCCTCCCAGCAGGAAACGGTGGTCCTGAACTCGGGACTCTGAGATCAAGCTTTCTTTAACCTAGAGGAGCCTGGGTGGGGTCTAGGCTATGCTTGGGCCACTCACTGCGTAGTAAGCAATTTGAAACCACCAGCTGCTCTGTGGGACAAAGATGAGGCTTTCTACTCCTATAAAAAGCTTCAGTTCTGCCCTGCCCTGCAGGGTCGCAGTGAGTTGGCATCGACTCAATGCTAGTAAGGTGGGTGTTTCTTTTCCCTTTCCCAGCCTGTCCTTGAAAGGTCAAAGCAGCCCTCTCACGCCCTCCTGGGCACAGATCCGTGGCCTCTGCATACCCCGGGCGTGTGCTTGGGGCGGGAGAAGGCCGCAGGACTGGCCCTGTGACTGCTGCCCTGGCTAGAGTAGGCACCCCAGCTGAGGTCGGGGGTGCCTCCTGCCCTTCCTGCTCTAACTTCTCACCTGTGGGTGGTTCCACTGGAGTTTTTTCTCTGGAAGGCCACCTCCACCTGGTGTACCTCTACCGGCTAGAGGCCATGCTGCCTGAGACTGACCCTCGTGTGTTGCCTTCCGTTTGTAGGTGCCCAAGAAGAAAGCCAAGGGCAATGAGACAGAAATCCGCTTCCACCAGCTGGTCGAGCAATATAAGCAGAAGCTCCTGGGTCCTTCCAGAGGTGTGCCCCTGGCAAAGAGGAGCAAGTGGTTTGACAGTTGACCCACCAGCAGCCTGGGCCAGAGCCACATGCATGAAACTGGGAAGCCCTGGTGAAGCCCCCAGTCACCCCCACCCCTTACCTCCCCATGTCTGACTGAGGGGTGCTGGGTGAGGATCCTAAGCTGCACCCACCTGGACACTGTCTCTCCTCTCAGAGGACCCGGGGGCTTGGGCGCGTCAAGACATGCCGGGAGCGGTGTGTCGGGGTGCCTCAGGGAAATGGGGCGGATTTTGAAGATGTGTGTTCTTTTTTTCCCCCTGCCTTTTGTTCTTTTTTAAAAAAATCATTTTATTAGGAGCTCATACAACTCTTATCACAATCCATACATACATCAGTTGTGTAAAGCACATTTATACATGCATTACCTGCATCATTCTCAAAACATTTGCTCTCCACTTAAGCCCCTGGCATCAGCTCCTCATTTTTTTTCCCCTCCCTCCCCACTCTCCCCTCCCTCATGAACCCTTGATAATTTATAAATTACTATTTTGTCATATCTTACAATGTCCGACGTCTCCCATCACCCACTTTTCTATTGTCTGTCCCCCAGGAAGGAGGTTATATGTAGATATAACCTTATAATCCGTTCCCCCTTTCCACCCCACCCTCTCTCTACCCTCCCAGTATCGCCACTCATACCACTGGTCCTGAAGGGATCATCTGCCCTGGATTCCCTGTGTTTCCAGTTCCTATCTGTACCAGTGCACATCCTCTGGTCTAGCCAGATTTGTAAGGTAGAATTGGGATCATGATAGTTGGGGATGGGGGTAGGGAGGAAGCATTTAGGAAGTAGAAGAAAGT